AACTTGTCGAATCTCCTATTCCATTAATGAGGAGATTGTTTCAGTCCATATAAGGATCTATTTAGCTTGCACACATAATCTTCCTTCCCTTTTTCGATATACCCTTCAGGTTGCCTCATCAGGATTGTTTCATCTAAATCACCATACAAGAATGCAGTCTTCACATCCAGCTGTTCTAGTTCAAGGTCGAACTGTGCCATTGTGGCAAGCAACATTCGAATGGATTTGTGCTTCACAACAGGAGAGAACACATCATTGAAGTCAACACCTTCTTTCTGAGTGAACCCTCTATCAACCAATCTTGCCTTGTATTTCTTCGACGCCACTCTTTCGATTCCTTCCTTAACTTTGAAAATCCATTTACAGTTGACTAACCTAGCTCCAACAGGTTTTTTATTCAGTTCCCAGGTGTTGTTATCATGAAGAGATTCCATCTCATCATCCATGGACTTCAGCCATTCAGTCTTATTTCGGCTCCTCATAACTTCCTTATAGTCTCTAGGTTCTTCGTCTAGAACCTCACCTGCAGAGATTAAGGCATAATTTATAAGATCTGCATACCCAAGTCTCTGAGGTGGCTTAACGACTCTCCTCGACCTGTCTCTTGCTAGCAGGTAGTCATTATCAGCCTCCTCATCTTCGACAACATCTTCTGCGTTTTCTTCGACTTCATTTGGGGTACGCAATTCAGCATCAACATGCTCTACCTCAATAGGAATCTCTCCCTGTTCCAGCTCTTCTTCAGCATCATCAGTTTTCTTGAAATCCATCTCTGCTTCATTGAAAACTACATCTCGACTGGTGACACACCTCCTGTGACCTGGCTCTAGGAACCATAGCCTATAAGCTTTAACTCCTTCAGGGTATCCCATGAACCTGCATTTCAGAGCTTTATGTTCGACCTTGTCTTGCCTAATATGAGCATAAGCCACACAACCAAATACTTTCAATTTGTCGAGACTAGGTGGATGTCCCGACTAAACTTCTTCAAGTGTCTTCATTCCCAAGGTAGTTGAGGGACATCTATTTATCAAGTAAGCTGTTGTCGAAACAACCTCCCTCCAAAACACCTTCTTCAATCCAGCACTAACCAACATGCATCTAACCCTTTTAAAGATTATTCAATTGAATCTCTCAGATAAGCCATTTTGTTAAGGAGTACCTGCTACAGTCTTATGCCTTACAATCCCAGACTCAACACAGTAACTATCAAACGCTTCGTTGCAAAATTCAAGGTCATTATCGGTTCTCAACCTCTTAATCTTTCTGCCAGTTTAAGTTTCGACCAGAATCTTCCAACTTTTGTAATTCTCAAAATTTTCATCCTTCGTCTTCTAAATGAATACCCATAGCTTTCTGGAATAATCATCAATGATGGATAGAAAATACCTTGCACCTGAGTGTGAAGGATTTCTTGTAGGCCCCCAAAGATCAACATGAATATAATCCAGGGATCCATGTGCTCTTTGCTTGCCTTTGTTAAACTTCGCCCTACAGGATTTACCAAATACACAAGATTCACAAAACTCCAACTTTTCAACTTTGTCACCTCTTAGCAGGTTCTGCTTTCTCAATTCAACCAGGCCTCTTTCTCTGACATGGACCAATCTCATGTGCCATAATTCTGTCTTCGACACAGGTTTCGTGGATGCAACATTTGTTGAACCACTTACAACCTCAGTCTCAAGGGTATACAAGCCTTGTTTCTTCATGCCTCTCAAGACTTCCTTCGACCTCTTCATGACTCTTAGGATATTTTTCTCTCCTTGAAAAATATATCCCTTTCTGTCAAATTCACCAAGAGAAATCAAATTTCTTTTCGAGTCAGGTACATACCTGGCTTCAGTCAATAACTTTATTAACTTATCATGGAGCTTGAATCTCACAGATCCAATACCTGCAATTTTGCAAGATTTGTTGTTTCCTAGCAGCACAGATCCACCATTTTGATCACATAGCTCCTCGAACAATTCTCTGTTTGGAGTCATGTGCAAACTGCAACCTAAATCCATAGTCCACTCTTTTCTTAAGTCGCCACTTGAAACCACAAGAACATCATATGAGTTGAAGTCATCTTAAACAATGGCTGTGTTGCCATTACCTCCATTATCTTTCAGGCGTTCATGGCACACCTTTCTTGTGTGACCCTCCTTCTTACAGTGATAACATCAAATACCAGATGTTTCGCCATTATAAGATTTCTGTTGACTTTTACCTTTCTTCTTGTTGAACTTCCCATCCTTTTCGCAAGAATTTTCCCTTAACGACCAAACCTTCACCCACCGTCGAAGGTTTATGCTCCTTTCGTTCATTCAAGTCCTTAGAATACAAGGCTGATTGAACTTCTTCAAAGGGCAAAGACTCTCTTCCATACAAGAGAGTTTCTTTGAAGTGAGCATGTGTTATGGGCAAAGCACACAGCAGCAACAGTGCTTGATCTTCATCATCGATCTTCACATTAATATTTTCAAGATCAAGAATCAGCTTGTTGAACATATCCAATTGCTCAGCCAACACTTTGTCTTCACTCATCTTGAATGAATATAAAGCTTACTTTAGGTAGAGTCGATTCACCTGAGATTTGGTCATGTACAAACTTTCAAGTTTCACCCATAATTCCGATGTTGTAGTCTCCTTTGATACTTGTCGAAGAACTTCATCACCAAGGCTCAACAATATTGCGCTATGGGCTTTCTCAATCATACCTGTCTTTCCTTTTGCCGTTAACGTCACGTCCATGGTTGCCTCTCCCTTCAACGCTTCCAAACAACCCTACTGAACCAGTAGGGCTTTCATCTTCAAGCGCCACAGACCGAAGTCGTTCACTCCGATGAACTTTTCAATCTCATACTTTGTTGAAGGCTTCTTTTCCATGCTCACTGCACCAATTTGTTGTGAATCAGATATTTTGAAACAAAATATAAACGATTTTTTTATGATCAAGAAACACACAAAGGTTAGGGTTAACAAAGAAAACATGGTAAAACAACAAGGAACAACAAGGATTGGTTATAAACTGATATTCTTTCCTTACTCTTAGAACAAGATTACAAGTATACAAGAATGACAATTTAATCTCTCTCTATTGAAATTAGGATTTTATCTTCCTATTTTTTCTTATGCCAAGATTGAGAAACTAGCATCTTATTTATAAGAAAAATAACACACTAACCTAATGAGCTTTTTAACAATTACTCATTACAAGTTAACTTAGGGTACAAGCTAACTTAAACAATTGGACTTACAAGCAAGGCCAAATTTAACATGCTAACAACCATAACAATATTGACTAATGCATGTTAGAACAAACTTCGACTACAACACACATTACTCCGACAGCAACATGTGAACAAACTTCAATCTCATGCTTAATTCCTATCGAACCAGAAACTATCCTTCGACCATACTAGAGTTTGATCCAACATCTCATAGTTGTTACATTGATAATGTGGATGTGTATTGTGAAATGGGTGATGTGCATGTAATAATATGTTGCTTACTTATTATCACGCTTTCTTTTATATAATTATGATATCTCACCCCTTCTGTTTGAATATTGCCTTTACATGGGCATCGTGCAGATAACTCGCAGTAGAAGAGTTGATGTGAGTGGAAGATGAAGTCTTCCTTTTATTTTATAGAGTCGGTGTCTGCTTTGATGTGTAACATCGGGGAATAGAAGGTTTCTATGTCTTTTGTGTTGTTAGAGATTATTTGGATATCTCTTATTTCTATGTTGTTTATGTTTACTTCAAGAACATGATTATACTTTGAATTATTGAAATTGTCAAGTATGTTGGAGTTCTGCTGCAATATGAATTAACTTTTCAGATATGCTTTGTTGTTATTAATATTATTAAGAATTTTTTAAAGTACATGTGTTACATATTATGAAATATGAACAAGTTTTTGGCGAAATGTGACATCCTAAATATTTTGTGTTTAAATTTACTCTAATATTTTATTATAATTTACGCGGGGGATTTAGGGTGTTACAGACTTCAAAAAGAAATTTCCCACTAAGAATACGTATCATGTTGTTGAGGAGTGTCATCATGAGCCCATTTGGAGAAAGTTGTGCTATGACAATGTGGCGAAACTGTGAACTCAACTTGTTTTGTGAATTGTTTGTCATGAAAAACTCACAACTATTGAGAGACTACACAAATTCGGGTTAATTACCGATGACAATTGTTGTTTTTATTCTAGTGTTGAAACCTTACATCATATCTTCTTTGACTGTATAACCCTGACAAAAATTTGAAATGAGGTGCTTTGTTGGGTGCAGATTGATCGATCACCGAAAGACTGAACAAGAGAGATGCATTGGGTGATCACGGAAAGTAACGGAAAGGGAACACGAGTTAAACTGCTTAAAACTTTTTTACTGAAAAATTTGTATGAATGTTGAAAGTATTGTAATGATAATTACTATCAGAACAGTGTAAATAATCACAAAATTGGTCAAAAAATTATAGATAGTTTAATATGAAGGACATGTAACTAGATTTATGATGTGTTTGCTTAAGATGACATTTTTTTTTGCTTTCTCTTTTGTTTTCTTATTTTCGAACTACATCGTTTGAATCACCAAATTTATAATTCGGACTTTGATAATTAATATCATTTTTGTTAATTTCATAAAAAAAAAATCAATTTTTTTTTAAAAGATACTTAATTTAAAGGAGAAAATATTTGAGTTAACCTACTAAATTAAATTAAATAGGGGCAGTTCATCTATTATGAACCACCTAATGTGGAGGTGGACATGTCAAATTTGCCTCTCCATTTATACACTCCGGAATTTCCAAGGCAAAAAACATTGTAATTAACGTTTTATTTAATTCTAAACAAAATCATTTCACAAAAAAAAAACTCCAAAATTGGTAGAAACAAGAAACTACAGCCCCCATTAAATAGCCTCGAATTGATGACAAATTAGCAAACACTTGTTACTCTCTGTCACGAGCTTCGTACTCTCCGTCATTTCATCAAACACAATGCAATCACTTCAGATTCAGCAACTACCTTCATCCCTTCGTCCTTCTCCGCTCGAACCACTTCGTAAGAAACCTTCCAATGTCGCCGGGAAAACCAAGTTCGCGTCGAAGAGAGTCTCGCATGTCACCGCCGCGGCTACTACTGCAGCACCGCAGAGACAGAAGGACCCGAAGAAGCGGGTGGTGATTACTGGTATGGGGTTGGCTTCTGTGTTTGGAAATGATGTTGATGGTTATTACGAGAAGCTTCTTGCTGGTGAAAGTGGGATCACGTCAATTGATAGATTTGATGCTTCGAAGTTTCCGACGAGGTTTGCTGGTCAGATCCGGGAATTTAGTTCGGAGGGTTATATTGACGGGAAGAATGACCGGAGGCTTGATGACTGTCTCCGGTACTGCATTGTTGCTGGAAAGAAGGCGCTTGAGCATGCTGGCCTCGGCGGTGTAAATCTCTCTAAGGTTTTGCACCTTTTTCTCTTAGATCTGTATTTGTTATATCTGAATTGAACTGAATGGAACCCTAATTGGTTTTTTGAAATTTGTATGCTGTTTGTTTTTGTATTGTAGATTGATAAGGAGCGTGCTGGTGTTTTGGTTGGGTCTGGGATGGGTGGTTTAACGGTGTTTTCTGAAGGGGTTAAGAATTTGATTGAGAAAGGACATAGGAAGATAACACCTTTTTTTATTCCTTATGCTATTACGAATATGGGTTCCGCTTTGCTTGGCATTGATTTGGGTTTCATGGGTCCAAACTATTCTATTTCAACTGCTTGTGCTACTTCGAATTATTGCTTTTATGCCGCTGCCAATCATATTCGTAGGGGTGAGGCGGATTTGATGATAGCGGGTGGGACTGAAGCTGCCATTATTCCTATTGGTTTGGGGGGTTTTGTTGCTTGCAGGGCACTTTCTCAGAGAAATGATGACCCTAGAACTGCTTCCAGGCCTTGGGATAAAGACCGTGATGGTTTTGTTATGGGGGAAGGTTCTGGAGTTCTGGTAAGGATTTTTTTTGTGCTGCTGTCCTTAATGTTTTCTTATTGTTGGCTACTTTAATTAACAATATAAAAGTTTACATGGTTGAGTCAAATTCAATTGCATCTCCATGATGGCTTCTTAAGAGAAATTTGCAAGACTATCATGACCTTTGCAACAACACTATCTTGTTCTTTGTACTTGCTCCCCAAATGAATAATTCTATTCTAAGCCTTGTTTCATGAAGTGGCTATGTTGTGTGTGTCCTTTTTTATTTCTGGCTTCTCTACAAGGTAATTTTCTATATCATAAAGAGAGTATTATAACTTAACAGGTATTGGAAAGCCTTGAACATGCCATGAAGCGTGGTGCACCTATCATTGCTGAATACTTGGGAGGTGCTGTGAACTGTGATGCTCATCACATGACTGACCCAAGAGCCGATGGACTTGGTGTGTCTACATGCATCCAGAGCAGCCTCGTAGATGCTGGTGTGTCGCCTGAAGAGGTACCTTTTTTTTCCCCTTTTACCAGGCTTACCATTTTTGCTCATAATTGTACCTGCATAATGGATTGTTGATCTCTCTTTTCTTCTTTGGCATGTTTTTTCGTTTCAACCTCACTCTACTTTCTGTTTGTTTTGTGTTCATACTGGATGTGTGTTTTCAATATCTTTTGGTACATGATACAATAGGGGATGGCATGGCAGCATTCATGAAAAATAGTTATCTCTTGTAAAGCTGCTGCTATGTAGTCATGATTTCAAGTAGTTCTACAGAATTTTCTGGCATTGAGTTCTAGATAAATAGATGTGAAGAAATTACACTTTTATAGATATCAAATTGCATAAATTAGGATGCACATGATGCTTAAAAAGCATGCATGTTAAAGGGGAGGGATTATGGTGTTAGCATCTAGTGGTATGATAAATCCGGAGAAGATTTAAGTGAAGAAAAGGCAAGAAAAATCTGCATAGTGAGAGACCTTTTGAAGGGGGAAACTAAGGCCTCTAAGAAACCTTAGGCTGGCTAATTTTATTCATTTTAGTCATTTCTGTTCATTTCTCTCTTGTATTTCAGCATACTGGAACTGATATCACTACCAGGATGCCATATACAATATACATGCTGTTTTTATTTTTGTTATGCCCTCCAGTTTCTACCAACTGAGGTCAGAGCTCTCAAAATCTTGGTAGCTGCAAACGATTAATATATAGATGGAGGGAAGTGACGGAGAAAGGCTTCAAAACTTAAATTAGGAAGAAAAAGGATGTCCAAATGATATCTTACGATACAATCCTCTCAAAAGGTTTTTGTGATTTAGGATCAAAATCCCTGGGATAAGGATTGAAAGGTGAGAGAAGAATTGGAGAGAGAGAGAGAGAGAGAGAGAGACAGACCCATGATAGAAACTAAGAACAGTGAGAAAAAGCTGAAAGAAACTGTGAATATTAAAATATGAGTTTAATTGGTATGCACCGACAGTATAAACTAATTTTACACTATTATATTAATCTGCCATGTCTTACAGTTAACTTATAATTTACAATCTGATGTGGCGGGATGCATGAGGGTGATTGGTTGATAGTGCATACCAATTAAATTTTTAAAATATAAGATGATATAGTTAATTAATATGTACTATAAAAGTATAAATGTGTAGTCGTTAATATTTAATAGTAATTATACTATCAATTTTTTTAATATTTATCTTATATGTTTAATTGTTATATGAAAAGTAAATAAACTATTCTAAGAAATATAATAAAAAATACCCAACTGTCCTTTTCATTTTCCTAGAACTCCGCCTGTGCTCATTTATGATAAAAAGAAGACTTTTAGAACATTGGGCTTAGAACATTGGGCTGTCTTTTTCTTCTCACGAACCTTTTTCTTTTCCCGTTCTGTTTCCTAGGCACTTGTTATCAAGTCATTTGTGTGATTAAATTGTTATATGACCATATATATCATGATATTTTTTAATATTTAAAAGAAAAACTCAAATATATTAAAATATAGGCTTAAGTTAAGAAGCACGGACATCTCTAGGAGTAGGCGTGTCGCAGTGTACGACACGCGTCGGTGTCCGACACTTGCATTACACTCGTATGACACGTGCCGGAAAAGTCAAACAAGTGTCGGAAAAGTCAGACAAGTGTCCACTAAATTTTTTTTGTTTTGTTTCAACACTCTTTGAATCAATAGTTGACACCCGTATGACACTCGTATGACACTCATAACACATCTCAGACAATTCAAACAAGTGTTTCAAACAAAAATTCTTGCTTTGCTTTAACACACCTTTATACATATTTTGGACAAATCTCACACAAATTTAAAATTGTTAAACGTGTATTTAAGCAATGTTATCAATAAATAATCAAAGGCATTAATTTTGATTAGAAATATTTGTAACTTTTTTGATAATAGATGGATAAATAAAGTTCAAATACTCTCTTATGTAAGCGGTGTCGGTGTCCTGTATTTTAACATTATTGGTGTCGGAGTGTCCGTGTCGTGTCGTGTCCCGGTGTCTGTCGGAGTCTGTGCTTCATCCCAAACAGACTCTTATTCTATTAATCCAAACCTTCCAAATTTCTTGGGCTAGTTGTATTTCATTTACTTTTTCTGTTTGTTTTTTTTCTTCTTGTGATTCAGGGTACTGCTGCTGATATTACACTGATGTCAGCAGCAAAGTGATAAATATACTTATGCATACTGTTTTCTTTGAGTAGTCTGGTCCAGTTTCTTTTAGTAAGTTAACAAGAAGAAGGTAGAAATGCTGTGTGGTTAGAACATAATAAAAACACCAATTGGATGGAACGGCCCAAGTTGGTGCCTCCTCTGTAACCAATCAGTTTATACCTTGCTACTCGCCCATTCATCAGGTCAAATAGGGGGCTTAAGCTACTGACAGAAATAAGAGGAAAGACAGTTTGTTAGGCCATTGCTACGTGTTGATTTATCAGTTTTAGAAGTTAGCCTTCATATCTGATTAATTTTTTTTTATTTATACTCCGTTGCTGATTAATGCATACCATAAATTAACAAAGTGAAAGCATCTCATTTGCTTCTTATCAGGTCAACTACATAAATGCACATGCAACTTCCACTCTTGCGGGTGACTTGGCAGAGATTAATGCTATCAAAAAGGTTTTCAAGAACACCTCTGGCATCAAAATTAATGCCACCAAGGTATTTTCGCGCTTCTTTGGCTTTTATTTGCTGGCGAAAGCTTTCTGTCTTCTAGATTGTAGCAGGCTATATTTTATTAATTTGTGGCTATTAACTGATGGATATGTTCTTCTTGGTTATCAGTCTATGATAGGGCACTGCCTTGGTGCAGCTGGGGGTTTGGAAGCTATTGCCACTGTAAAAGCCATAACAACAGGATGGCTGCATCCATCAATCAATCAATTCGTAAGTTTGCTTTCGTTCTTTGTTTTTCAGGATTAGGATTGTTGTCTTTTCAGGTCAAGCCATGTTGTTTCCGTTGCTGGGTGATTGGGGTGGGCAAAAGAGATGTTTTGTGTTTCTTTTTTCACAATGTTTGCCTTGGTATTGAGTGCAGAACCCAGAACCTGCAGTTGACTTTGATACAGTTCCAAATGTCAAGCAGCAGCATGAAATTAATGTTGGTAAGATTCTACATAATTCAACGACCAGTGTGTTTTCATTTTGACACAACTAAGACCATAATTTGAACCATTATTAACTTAAGAGCATTCTTTTCTTTTTTACCAGGTATTTCAAATTCATTTGGATTTGGGGGACACAACTCTGTTGTGGCATTTTCTGCTTTCAGACCCTGATTTCCAGCTCTGTTGTGGCACATCATGTAGAACATGGAATCCAAATTAATTGAAATTTTGTTCTCTCTACATCATTGAGGCTATTTATTTAATGAGTTCATAATATATAAAGGCTGTAGTTCTGTAATTGTTAATTTTATGCTAATTGTGAACAGACACTTATAAAGACTATTTTGCTGTAGAACTTTTTAATAGCACGGAGATTTCATTGGTTTGAAGTTATACAGCGGATAGAAATTGTTGAGAGAGCTTATTTAAACATTTTTCCTTATTGTTAGCAACGATATTTATTATAAAGGATATATCTGGCATGGCATACTTCATGTTATTGAATCTTTGTTGGTTATATTTGAATCAGATAATAGCCTTTTACACGATACTACACAAAAAAATTAGTTTATCTTTCAATAAATTTACAATAATATACTCATTAAAATAAAATAAAAAAGTTAGTTTATCCATCAATAAAACTCACTTGGATATATTTATCTTTAAAAATATAATAGACTTATATAGGCTGTTTTGTATCAGTTTTTTTTTCTAAAATGATTTTTATAATATTATATATTTTTGTTTAAATGTTTTACAAAGAATCCATAAGTTTCTTTAACTTTTGTCTTATTATTAATAAATTGCTAAATAGAACACATGACTATCAATTTTTTGTTATATTTAGCACAATTTTGCCTACCATTTTGGCATATAATATAACTTTGGTATAAGGTAACAGAATTTTGCCATTGGCTTATATAATTTGGACATATTTTACTTATATTTGTCCCAATTTTTAACATGGACGTGTGTATCTGAATTATTAAATGGTACTACAACACTAGAACATTGTCATGCAATACTAATTTATTCAAATATTGAAAAGCATTCTTGAACAAAGCTTTACTAATACAGCATCAAAACAACAAATTGTATGGCATCCTAAACACTGTTATGTTAATAATTACTAAAACATCAAATTGTTTTACTTAATGCAAATCCAAAATATTATCATAATACTACAAACTATAAATGCAACATTCTGAAAGGCCAAAACACCAAAATGTTACAAAATAGAAGATACTTCATCCAAAGCTTCATTGTGAAAGACCTTTAAATATAGGGAATTATTTTTCCACCTTTATAGTGCTCTCCCACTTTGTAAAAAGTCACAATTGCTCCTAGTGTTTGTAGATGTATTTTTGCACGCGCATTTTTCACACATTTTTTGTAATAAAATTGTTGAGAAACAAAAATAGTAGAAATAACTCTAACAACAATGAAGTGTGAGATCATTAATTGAAAGCTGGTTGAAAAACCCTTCAAATGAAACAAGAGGAAGATATGAGATCAAGAAGCACCTATAAACTTAGAAGATTACGAATATTGATATCCCCTAACTATCCTTAGCTAAATATCTACTCAAGATCATAATTAATAATCAGGAGACAAATGACAAAATCAATTTTCTGATTCACTATTTAATTCAAGACCAATGTGAACTACCTTTAGAATTGTTTACTGATGATGATTTTGACGATGAAGAATAATCTCACCAAATGTGCTTTAGTTTTTACGTGCATTTTCATGTTTTTCTAATTGTTTCGTTTTCTAAAATTTCACGCTTTCTGTATTTGAATTCCAGTAAAATATTATTCAATGAAATGTGTGTGTTTTTCCCTTTTTTAAATGCTTATATGACTATGTGTTTGCATATTTAATTTTCTACATTGCAGTTTTTACCTGTATTTTTTATTATGACAAAGAGGGGGAAATATATTCTCAGAGGGGAATAGAGTATATTTTATATTCATTTGAGAGAGAGTTTAAACACTCTATTATTATATGTTTGATGTTTTCTTTTACCACCTCCTTGAGAGATGCACTGTCATCATAAAAAATGGGGGGATGCGGAACTATGTATTTGCAGGTGATCAAAGTTAAAAAGGTCATACACATCATGGTTTAGTTTTGATGATGACAACTTAGTTTTATTGACTATAACTTGTGAATATGTAACCTTGATGACAACCTATGAAGATTCATTATGATCCTAAAGCATAAAGCATAACAAGTATGTCAAGCGGTCAAAATGCACAAGAAAGTTTGTTCAAAGCTTTTCCTCCAAATCAAGCTGATGGATTGGGGTTTTGGTGATCTTTTTCCTATGGTGATGGTATCCAACTTGAAAACATATCAATACTCATCTCTAAAAACACTCAACCAAGTGATTATGTGATTGTTATGTTCTACAAAGTCTTAAAGTTTCAAAGTGTGAAAGAGAGAAAGCGTGAAAACTCGTCTGATTGTGTTTGAGTGATCAACATTTTGTAAAAGTACGAGGGAATTTCCGTAAAATACTATGGCTAAATCACACACGCATTAACTTTTTTTTATAAAAATCTTCATTTCTCAAATAAAACAACTTTGAAATGTTTTGGACCATAGCTAGATGAATCAGGAAATGTCATTATGGGTTGGGTAAGTTTTTTGAACTGTCTAATCGATTAAAGCATATTCCTAATTGATCGTTTTAGTGCAAATTGTGTCCATAATCAATTAGGATAGTGTATTAATTAAATGTAACATAATTCTATCCAAACTCTTCAAAATGGACATTTTTAATTAATTATCTTAGTCATCCAATCGATTGTGTCAACCTCTAGCATATAAATAAAGGCATCTTCCTCACTTTTTCATATCCAAAATCGTGATTTATTTCACTATCCTCATTCCCCCTCTAAACATATTTTTCTACTTTCTCTCTGTTAAATATGTAATTAATTGTTTTAGAAAGATTAGATTTGATTTAGAAAGATCATATTTGATTTATAAATATTAGATTATATATTTTTGGGCTTTTATAGTTTGGGCTTTGCCTTGGGGTGCAACCTAACCTAAATCTATAAATAGGGAGAAATACTTATTTTGTTAACATTTCATCTCATCTCATTATATTTTGTAATTCACAGTTTGCAGTTGCAAGTGAAATAACAGAGTTTCCACAGTTTGTGGGCAGAGAATTCTCTGTAGAAAATTATTCATATTCTTCTTCTTCAACGTTTACTTTCTTTCTTTCTAAACTTTTCTTTCATTGTCATTACGCGAGTTGAAACAATCTTGAGATCAAGATTGATTGAGTGAAATTCTCCATAGGTTGTGGTTGAATTTCCAACATCTGGTATAAGAGCTCCGGTTACGATTAAAGGAAGAAAAATCGTGATGGCGATAAATCATCCAAACGATCACTTTCCGACAAACTTTCTAATTCTCAAGAAAGATAATTATGAGAATTGGTGCAAGCAAATTAAGGTGGTTTTCTGTTATCAAGATCTTCGGGATCTTGTGAAGGGGGGAGTAGCACCGCTTGTGGAAAACGTGACAAATCAAGAAAAAGCTACATTCAAAAGAATTGAAGAAGAAAGAATATAAAGCTCTCTTTATAATCCATTAATGTGTATATTCAGATAATTTTGAAAATGTTAGTGATGTAGAATCAATGAAGGAAGCATGGGAGATTCCTGAAAAGACGTTTGGAGGCGCAGGAAAGGTGAAAGAGGTGGGGATACAAACTCACAAGAGAACCTATGAATTGCTTCAGATGTAAGAAAGTGAAAGTATAGCAGATTTCTTCACTAGAGTTACAAAGCTGGTGAATCAAATAAAGGTATGTGAAGAAGTGTTGACATCAAGATTAGTTGTTACAAATATCTTGAGGTCGTTGGCTCCAAATTTCGACCACATGGTAGTAGTCATAGAAGAGTCGAAAGACTTATCAACATTGATGAAGGAAGAGCTTTAAGGGACGCTTGATTCTTATGAACAAAAGATGGTTGAGAGAGTTGCAGGAAAGTCGAAGAGTGGTGTGGCTTTGCAAGCGCAGTCAGAAAAGGAAAGGAAAGGCAAAAGAAGCTAGAATGACAATAAAGGTAGAGGAGGCTACAACAATTCGACTGGTCGAAATCAGCATGAAGGAAACTGGTTGAATTAAAGAAAACCCTGGAACCAAGGCAACCAAAGAGGTGGTGTTGCTGGTAGAGGAAAAGGTGGTGGACGAAAGCCTGGCAAAAGTCACATTCAGTGTTTCAATTGTCAGAAGTATGGTCACTATTTTAGTGAATATCGAGAAAAGAAGAAAAATAAAGAAATCGATGCAAAGATGATGAAGCATGAAGAATAAGAGATGTTGTTAATAATCACAACAAGAGACGGAAAGAGATTTCAGGACCAGTGGTACTTGGACTTAGGATGCTCATTACACATGACTGGAAGAAAAGATTGGTTTATCAACATGAAGCCATCGTCGAAGAACATGGTGAAATTTACAAATGATAATACTCTAGCAGCTGAAGGTATTGACGATGTTTTGATTATGAGGAAAGATGGCAAGAGGTCAACAATTTCCAATGTGTTGTACATATCAGACTTGAAGAGTAATTTGCTTAGTATATAATAGCTAGTCGAAAAGAACTACAAGGTGTCGATTGAAGACAAGATGATGAGAGTTCTCGATGTAGGTGGTATGTTGATCTTGAAGGCTTCAATGTCTCAGAATAGGAACTTCAAGATTGAAATCAATATGATGGAGCACAAGTGCCTAGCAACTGTAGCCAGCAGAGATGAATGGTTATGGCATATTCGACTAGGTCATCTCAACTTCAATGACATCGGAGAGCTAAAGAAGAGAAATACGGCTTCAGGATTACTTGAAATCGACATTCCAAGTGAAGTTTGTGAAGAGTGTGTCCAGTCGAAACAACACAATAATAGCTTCAGCAAGGATGCAGGAAGGAAGTCGAAGACAATTCTGGAAGTCATATACTCTTATGTATATGGTCCAATCCAGGTGGAATCGGTTGCAGGCAACAGATACTTTGTCACGTTCATAGATAATTATAGTTGAAAGTTATGGTCTTACCTCATCAAGAAGAAAAGTGATGTGATCGAGGTATTTTCCATATTCAAATCTATGGTTGAAAGACAAAGTGGTCAAAAGCTGAAGACTTTGA